CTATGTTACCCTCCAATTGAATAAGTCCTTATTTATATTCACTTTGTAGCACAATAAAAATATAAATTAAGGCATATAGTGTTGCATTTCTTAAAAATCATCTTTTATTACATAAAAAAAATTACACAAAATAAAATTTTCGCAAATAAAAATTAACTGGCCAACAATTACATTTTCTAATTCCAGATTACATAAAGAAGGTTCAAGAGATTTTAACTTTATTCTCTACAAGGTGTTGGGTTTAATAAGAAGATTTAAATTGGTTTTTTTCAACAATATATGTAATACATGAAGAAAGACTAAAACAAGAAAGAGAATAAATCATTTCTAGAGGAAACACATATGGAGAACTGAAGAAAAAAGGTTAAAAAAAAAAAAGAAGAAGAAAGGTAAAAAAAAAAAAAAAAGAAGGAAGAATGATGAAAAAATGAGGAAGAAAGGTGGATATAAATGAAATAAGGAGAATATTTATTAAAAAAAAATAAATGTGAAAGAAGGTTAGGCTAATTAGCCATTATTTTCTGTCATGTGAGCCATTTTGATGTCTTTTTCCAATTGTCACGCGCTCCAAGCGAGTGTTTACACACGTTATGTCAGGTCAGCAACGAGGGGGTTTTAATATAAAGGACAATATAGTTCAAGGGGGTTTTGAGGACACCGAATAGTTTAAGTAGGAAACTGACAAAAATGTAATAGTTTAAGGGGTTTTTAGAATATTAACTCTTTTCTTAACGCTAAGTTAATTTTAGAGTGAATACCCTAAAACCCCTTTAAACTATCATGTTTTTGGCAGTTACAAACTTAAATTATCCGGTGTCCCCAAAACCCACCTTAACTATATCCCTATATATTAAAAAATTTCTCGTCAATTTTTTTAATGAAATATGTAAGGTAACTCGCCAAAAGGCGCTTAAGAGATGAAATTATACATAAAATGGCCCCAATTGGCCATTTCTAACGGTTAATTACTGTTACCCTCTTTAAAAAATTTAACTTTTGTATTTTTCTTCTCTTGCTTGTTTCTTCAAAAATTATCTTTCTTCTTCATTTAGGTCTTCTTCTTTCAGCTAAATCCTAATTTTTTTCCCCAAATCTCGTTTTAAACTTTAATTCCCGATGAAGACGAAGGTTATTGGGAAATATTCAATGTTTAATCAAAGTTTAATGGTAAAAATCACGATTGAAATATGGTGTAGCCATTATCGGAGGAGATAGAAGAGATTTTTTTATTTTTTTTTTACAAATGACCATGCGTTTATCCCTTCATCCTCTTCCTTTGATTTTTAATCCCCCAAATATTTACCTATTTAATTATTTTTTATTATTATTTAAAATTCTTAATTAAATTGGTATATCAGATTAGGCTGAGTAAATAGAAGGGTGTATCACACTCACCACTAAAAAATCGACGAGGTTTTTCTTAATATATAGGTGTATATAGTTAAGGGGGATTTTGGAGACACCGGGTAATTTAAGTAGGTAACTGACAAAAACGTGATAGTTAGGGTGGTTTTAAGATATTCACCCTTAATTTTAGAGTATTTTATAGTTAAACCAGTTCAGTGCATAACCCTTTCCTAAATCATCATTTTGGAGTTTAACCTTATTACTCCCTCCGTTCCAATTTATGTGAATTTATTTCTTTTTTGGTCTGTTCCAAAACGAATGTCCCCTTTCTAAATTTGAAAATAATTTAACTTAAACTTCCAATTCTACTTCAATGATACGCTTTTATACCCACACAAATACTGTGGACCCTTTCTGACTTGTTTAGGTTCACAAACTCCAAAAATCTTCATTTTTTTAAACACCTTGCTCATCAAACTGGTTCACGTAAATTGAAATGTAGGGAGTATATGATTGGACTACGTAATAGATCTCACAGCTATTCAGAAGATTTGCAATGTTAACATTAAATTCAGTCACTAAATGTCATAAGTTGCTGATTGCAGTTGCAAATGACCATATATATGAGTCAAGGGAAGTTATTTTGCAGTAAAACCACAGAGCGCCTCTGATTTAATTTGTTATTTAGTTTCTAAATTTTAGTATGTGAAATACTTGGTTTATAACCTCAAAAGTTTCAAACTTGAGTTTACTTGAAATATTTTTCCGCCTGATATTGGCTGCTTTTATGTATGATAAATATGGACAATCTGATTTTAAGAATTTGATAATCTGTACTTTTCGTAAAGATGAACCTTTTTTGTTTTCATACAGAAAATCCCCACGGCTTTTACAGAGTATAAGAATGGGAAGCTACCCAAAAGGGTTTCACTTAGGGATAGATTTGGGAATGTATGGCCAATTGGACTGGCGAAAAAAGACCGAGACCTTTATTTCCAAGATGGATGGGTGAAATTCATTGAGGACAACAGTTTGGAGTTTGGAGATTTTTTGATTTTTGATTACGATGGGAATGGTGTATTTGATTTCAAATTACTTGGAAAAACTGCATGTGAAAAGAAAGGAGCTGGAGTGACTAGTGTGAAAGTGGAGGAGGAAGAAATGATCAATATTGCACATCAAAAGATTGAAGAGCCAAAAGGGAAGAAACAATTGGCCAGTAATAGCATTAGTTCTACTTCTTCTTCTGATGGCGATGAGGATGAGGAGTACATGGTAGAAGAAGAAGACGAGGACTATGAAGAAGAAGAAACAAATGAAAAAGCAATAGTAATATGCAAGAAAAAGCCGCCACGTTCAAAAGGTACTTATGTGGAAGAGGAAAAAGATGATGATAATGAGGGTGAGGAGGAGGAGGAACACGAAGAAGATGAGGAACAAACTGAGGAGGAGGAGGAGGAAGAAAAGAATGAAAAAGCAAGAATGTTCAAGAAAAAGGCGCCATGTTCAAAAGGTAGACACAATTAAAGATTCTCTACATCCATTCATCTTTTTCATTTTATATACGATTCAATTCTTTTGGTCTTGCCTCTTCCAGAAATGCAAGGTAAGACTGCGTACAATAGACCCTTGTGGTTCAATTCTTCCCCTGACCCCTCGCATAGCAGCAGTTTAGTGCACCGGGCTGCCCTTTTTATGCGATTCAATTCTTTTCTTGTTAGTACACTATCAGAGTTTAAGTTATTTGCATTGACATTACCAAACGAACATTAAAATAATACCAAATTTTATACCTGTGGATTATTTTCATAATCTCGGTAATTGAACAGGCCTAATGATACTTTTGGCATAGTTTTCTTTCTTTTTTAAACTGCATGTTCAATCAAATGCTGCCGTATAAAAATAAACTGAGGGGATTATCTCTAAGTTTTCCATGAATGACCTGTTGTCCTTGATATTTCTGTTTGTGAACCTGACCAATTAGCTTTCTTGATTTTAGCTGTATTCAAAAGAGCCACTACTATCAAGAAGAGGGATGTCCCTGACCAATATGGTGCAGAGATTTTCAGAAGTGGACGTGCGACTCAGCCTAAAAATCCTTACTTTGTTGCGAAAATACGAGCAAAAAGAAGAGATCAACTGGTAATTTAAAGCATTACAACTGTTCATGTGAAACAATTTTATAGTACAACCTTATAGCATTCTCATTAAACAAGTCTTTGTTCCAAATTGCAGTACGTTCCAGTTGATGTGGTGAGAGACTACAACCTTGAACTCCCTCCAAGAATGTTCTTTCGTGACTCTGAGGGCAGAAAATTTGAAACAGAGGTTAATATTTGGAAGGATGGTAGGATATGGCTCAAAAAAGGATGGCGCAAAATATGTAGATGGAATCTTGTTGAAAAAGAAGACAGTTGCATTTGTGAGTTTATGAGAGGAAAATCCAATGAAGTCCTTTATTTACAGGTTACTGTTGTCAAAGCAGGAGGAGTTTCCAATCCTAGCAAATAGCATATTTAGTTTGTATGGACTTAAGTACTGTTATTTGTTGACTAGTTTTGAAGAATTGTCTACTACTTTGTTAAGTACTGCATTCTGTTGACAAAATTTGAAGACTGTGCTTGTTTGTATTAATAGCTTTGGCATTTAAACCAGTTGACTGGCGTTAAAACTGAATTCTTGTTGATTTACTTATGTTGGAAATGCCCATGTGGGCAAAGTTTGGTCAAAATGCTTATATCATTTGTGAGTTGTTTAATTCATCACATCATTCTTCAGCATTTGAGAAATATTCCATAAAAAATTTGCATTGGAATGACCTTATGATAGACTATTACGTTTGCCTCAATAATGAAAAAATTTACCCAAATTAAAAATGAGTAAATTTCATCTAACTACCAAAATATTTTAAGAGAAGTACACAAATAGCGCTGCTATTTAGGGACTGGTCCGTACTTATTTTGTCCTGAAAATTTGAAAAAAAAAATTAATTTTAGAACTTACTGTCCTGAAAAACTGAAATTTAGAACACGTTGGCTAATTCCTAAATAGCAGCCCTCTAGAATGACTATGTGCTATCATGTTTACAATATTTTAAGGTCAGAAAGCTTTACGTTATTCATCTTTTACATGAAATAAGACTCCTGTGAATTACTCCCTCCGGTTCACAATAAGTGTCCAATTTACTTTTAGCACGCCCATTAAGGAAATACTAAATTCTATACGAAAATACCTACTATGATTTAACTACCCCTAATTAAATATTTAATGTGAGGAGTAAGAAAACTTTTTAGGGATATGTACATAGGGGTTATTTTGTAAAAACAAATTGAATTCTTTCTTGATTACATAACTGGACACTTATTTTGAACCAAAATGAAAAAGTAAATTGGACACTTATTGTGAACCGGAGAGAGTAACATTTTCAGGCAATTTTGAAATTGCTGCAAACTAAGGAAATATGTATTCATAAGCTAGGAGAAGAACATTAATGATTAACCTATCAAATATCCCAAAAAAATTGTAATTTGAACTATACTTTATGTAATTTCTTTAAAAGGAAAAGAAAGGACAAATAAGTCAATTATGCTGCTTCTTTATCAAAATTAGGACAAAAGGTCCATACCCCACCAAATTTCCTGGCCAGTGTTACAAGTTGCTGAGCTATAAGATGCCTCATCCATTTTTCCTTGTCAGCCAACCATCTCAATACCCCCCTTATCCATTGCTCTCATATTCACCTCACAAAAAACAATATCTAATGTTCACCCTTTTATTATCTCTCTACTTTGGCAAACTTAGAGCACTCCATAAGCCATCACAACCAGGTAAAAACCCAACTTTTAGTTCTTCCTTTTCCAAGATTTTGTATAAACTTTGTTAACAACTTCACTTGTTTTGTATAGGTTGGTGGTCAGAAAACAATGGCAACAATGACAACATTCTCTGCAGCAACAGTAAGTTCACCAGCCATTCTAGGTACAAGGATGTCTTCCCAGAAAAGAACCAAAGTGAACTACATTAATGGATTGAACTCATTTGGAGGACTAAAGGCAAATAACAATGTTGCATCATTAGGCCTCCCTATGTGCACTGAGCAATCTTTTGCAAAGATTGTTAGCTCATTGAAAACCCCATCACAAGCCAAAGGTGGAGCTTTGTCTTCAACCTGCAGTGTTGCTGGTGAGATTTTCAAGATTGCTTCCATTATTCCTGGCTTGGTTCTTGTTGGAGTTGCTGTTGGTTTTGTCCTCCTCCGAATTGAAGCTACTGTAGAGGAAGCTGATTGAAACTTTGGTCTGTTTAACAATTTCTTTTTTCCTGCATCAAGATTCACTCTCTGTTTTATCTGTTTAATTCTCTGTTTTGATGTAGAATTTGATTTGTTTTGGAAATATATATAAGTTAAACTAATAAACTATGGGTTCCCTCTAGAAACTTTTACCCTCTTAATGTACAATCATTTCTTTTTTAAGCGTTATCTATGTTGTCTGACAAGATTTTACCTATGGTGCTCTGGACAATATTCAGAATACCATATATCTGGCTAGCTAACACATTATAAGAATGGAATTGGATTCCTTGTCATGGGATGAAATCTTCCTTTAAGATTGAGGAAAATTGGACAAAATCATTTTCAAAAGTTCAGCAGCTGCAAGTTGGTGGGGGTTTTAATTTTGGTTGCCTTTGATCGAAAAATAATGTATCTCCTAATGTTGGAGAAATTTTAGTCGTTTAAAAAGGCAGAAAAATTCCTTTAAAATTTTCTTGTTATGGGATGAAATCTTCCTTTAAGACTGTGCTTATGCTTTCATGAGCCGAAGGTCTGTTGGAAACAACCTTTTATCTCCACAACGTAGGGATAAGATCTGCCTATACACTATCCTCCCCAGACCCTATCATGTGGGATGACACTGGGGTGTTATTGTTGTTGTTGTTTAACAAGGCATAAGAAGCTGCAATCATACATCTTGATATATATGGCTTAAAGCTGTATGTATTGCTAGTTCCAACAAGGTAACAAGTTATCTTAATAAACAACTTGTATCACTTCACATTGTAAATACTTCATAAAAGGCTAGTAAGCTTACTCTATGATGAGAATAACCACTGTTTCAGAAGAAATTATAAGCATTTCTTCTAAGCTAGACTTTTAAGAGGCTTCCATCTTTTATGCCAAAAGATAGATACTCTTTGTCGCCAACTGCTAGCTTCTTCCTCCACTGTTAAAGGAAGCCATACATACCTAGACTCACTCAAGTCATCTGGATTCCATCGATCAGCCATGAAAATAAACGAACCAGGAGAAATAGGGAGCACATATGTGCTCTGAGCAAAGAATGTAGTGACTTGAAAAACTTTGTTTGCACCTATACATGGGTTGCCTATAGTCACCCATGGTCCCATCATTGATTCAGCCACATGAGCCAGTGCCTCATTTGGTGCCCAACCACTGCACCCTGATGTGATCATGTAGTAAGTTCCTTTGTGCTTGAACAAAGCAGGAGCCTCCCTATACTGTCCCACAAGAACCCTTGACATAACATTAGTAACATCAACATAATCTTGATCAAGAAGACCAATATGAAGCTCCCTGTTGTGAACGGAGGAGTAAATGACATATGCCTTTCCATGATCATCTTTGAACAAAGTCATGTCCCTGCTTTCAAAACCATGAGGCCTTTTACTATATCGATATCGAAAAGGACCAACAGGGGAATTGCTTGTAGCAATTCCAACAGAGGCTTTGGTATAGTTAGCATCATCAATATGCATCCACATTACATATTTACCTGTCTTCTCATTGTAGATCACTTTAGGCCTCTCTAACACCTTAGACTTGTGAAGGTCATGAGCCTCATCTATTTCCTCCGCGGCTAATACAATACCCTCATTCTTCCAAGTCCATAAATCTTTAGAAGAGTAGCAGCCAACACCAATTATGTCTACTCGAGCTACGTTCTTCCCAGGGGCTCGATAAGTAGGACCATTCTTGTACTCGCCATACCAATAGTACATTCTTGATCTTTTATCGTAAAGAATTCCACCACCATGAGCTTGAATAGGATGTCCATCAGTATCTAGCCAAATTCTCCCAGGGTAATAGTAAAAGCTGTCATCTTTAGTATTCTTTCGAGGGTCTATGCTAGTCCTCTTGTCAGGAAAGAAATTGTGCCTTAGTTTAGAAGACTTATCAAGGAATTCATCAATTAGGACATTAGCTTCTGAAGATTGGCTTCCTCTTTGCTGAGGAATTTTGATCTCCTCCAACTCTTCATATTCATGAACAAAGGGCTGAAGATTTGTATTCGTCCCTTCTCGGACCTGCCCATCTTGAGAACCTCTGTAACTACCCAAGGATGAGAAATGAAGCAGAATAAAGAACCCCACCAAACTACAAACCAGTAAAGGGTATGAGCATCTGCTTCTTGACGAGAATCGAGTCATGGGTTAAGCAAAGCTTTACTAAAGGGACTGCAGTTGGTGGTCAGAAGTTGTTGTATCAGATTAATCTTAACATATAGCTCATTTCAGGCCCCAATAAGAAAAAAAGGAGACCCACTGGAGTAAAGATGAGGTTAAGGGAGTGAACTTGTTTATAGTATTTCCTGGATCTCGAGACAAAAACAACTTTGAAACCTAAGATTCTTTTGATTCTGCTACCTTTGCGCCATGTATACAGCTTTTACTCTATAGAACTAGAGTTAGACTATTTGGTCAAAAGAAGTGGGCTTCCAAACTACGTAATTGCCTCCATTGGATGCCTTTATGACCTTTTTTGGGCTTCCTTTGCCTTTTTCTTAATATAAAGTTTGGCGGGGAAGCAACTCTGACTTTCTTCTGTAACGTCGACCGCCGGCCAACAAAGACAACTTGCCAAATAGAGTATTAGCCAGAATAGTCTGGCAGACACTTTACTTGTTCCGATTTGTCATCCGGTCCCTACACTCCATAATGTTTCATCCAGATATTTTAACTTAATTAAAATAAGATTTTTAAACCCTTCTGACCGTTAACCGAGCTTATGTGGCATTGATATGGCTGAAGTGGACAAAATGAGTGATTTACACGCACATTAGGTGCGTGAGCTGATGATTTTTCTTTATTAAAAAAATTAAAATTTAATAAAAAAATAAATAAATAATACTAGCAGTTATTCTAGTACGAAAGAAGACTCCCCTTCGTTCTGCCCCCCTTCCCCCCTCTTCTTCTTCTTCAGCCCCTTCCCCCTTCGTTCTCCCCCCCCCCCCCCTCCTTCTTCTTCTTCAGTCCCTTCCCCTCCCCCCTCCCCCCGGCCTCTTCTCCTCGTCTTCTTATTTAGATCTCTCCCTTCCCTTTTTTCTTTATCTTTCTTCATCCCTTCTTTCATTAGATTTTCTTCTTTCATCATGTCATCTTCCCCTTCTCTATGACTACTCCATTTTTTCCGGTGGTTTTAGCTTTCAAATTTTTTCACAGCCCTTCCAAATTGGGGTAGAGAAATAAGTGAAAACTCAAAAGACTTAATTCTCTGCTCATGTATTTTTCATGGATAGATAACTTTCTTTAAAAGAGGTGTGAAGGAAGTGGTGGTACTCATGGTGGAGGAGCCATGGCAGGTGGGTTATTCTTTTAAGAAGGTTGAGTGGGTGAGTTTGAAGAAGGGAGGAGGGGTTTTCTTTAATTTTAATTTTAATTTTTTGCTTTTTTTAATTTAGTTTTTGTTTATGAAATTAAAATTTAGTTAAATAATATTTTTTCGGCATAGAATCTGATGTGGATGCTGATTTGTCATCCACGTCAAGCAAGTGAGCATCACACGATTTCGAAGGTGTTTAAAAGTCTTGTTTTGATTAAGTTGAAGTGTCTGGATGAAACTTTATGGAGTGTAGGGACCGGGATGACAAATTGGAACAAGTACAAGTGTCTCCTAGGCTATTCTGCCTAGAGTATTATACTTATTCATCTTATTAGTTTCTTGATACGTGTGTTGCACGTGTTATTCCGTACAAGCCATAAAAAAATTAAAATATTATTAAAACATGTAAAATATTACACCAAAATTTCTAAAGAAAAAAATACAAGCTAAAAATAGTAAATAGTTTTAGAGATGTAGTGTTGAACTCAAATTGACTGGATAGCTCTGCGAAGATCAATAATTATATTTAGTTAGACAAGTGTATTTTATAATTACATAAATTTAGTTGTTATGAGTTACAAACATATCATATGACCGTATATTTCACCTAATATTTCTTTGTAGATATTGTTCTTGAAGTTGTTCCATTTTTATGTTTCAGCGAAATGATTCGTGCAACAAATAAAAAGAGAAACTAATACTTATTTGTACATGATATATTCTTTTTAAAGAATGGAAGAATTAAATGTTTGTGATGTTGTGAACAATTAAGTAAGAAGTGAAAAGAATTCTTTTTTCATAGTTATGCAAAATTATACAAGAATTTTGAAATATTAATTGTAAAAAGTTGAGGGAACCAAAAGGTTTTATACTTATTTATAAAGGTATAATTTTTTGAAGGGTATAATAGTCACTTAAGTTTATAGGGTTATTTTGGTCTTTCATATTCAACTTTTGATCTTCATGCTTATAATATAGTATATATGATCATTGGGTTGTAAATTGTAATACAACAATACTCTCTATAACAGCCTCATTTGTTCTCATATTTTTTGGCTTTTTGGCATTTCTAGTGAATGGTTGTTATACATCTATAACAGCATTTGACGTTTAAATATTTTTTCACTGTTTTAGGTAAAAATTATCCAAAAATTAATTATTTTTCCTTTTTTAATGTTACATATAAAAGATAAGAAAATTATTTAAATTTAAAATCTCAAAAAATATGCATATTTCACTATTTAAATATCGAAGAAAAATAATACATTATTAATAAAATTCATAGCTAAACGTATAAATATTTAAACCCTAAGGCATACATTTTAAAGATACCTAGAAAAATAAATTCTTTCAAGATTGATAGACGAACTTTGTAATTGTAGCTTTTTAGTAGATTTCATTCTATTACTAGCGACATAACGCTTGAATTGGCGAAGATTCATGTCGAAATTTTCAGTAAAAAGGTATCCAATAGCTTTCCCTTGAAGACAGTCTAAGAGCTTAACAGTTAAATTTTCTATCTATATATATTTTGAAATTTGTCCAATGGAAAAGATATCATGTGCAAATCTTTAAATTTTATATCTTATGCAAGATAGAAACTTTGTTAATCTTAATGATTCTATATGGCTAACTTTGTTAACCTTAATGATTCTATATGGCTGTTATAAAGGGGTAATTTTACAAAGAGCGTTCTGCTATACATATGGTTGTTGCTGTTATAGGTAAAAAGTTGTTATAGAGAGGTAAAATATAACTTAAAAAATCAGTTCTGAGAAAAACTTGGCTTTTATTGTGAATATAATATAGGAATGTTGTTATAGAGAGATCTGACTGTACGCCCAATAAAAGAATACTACACATGTGTTGTCAAAAAATAATAATATGGAGTGCTAGTAAGTAGTAATGCGGCCTTAGGTAGAGCACTTTAATTTATACTATATTCAGTTATTCACCAACCAGCACCACCCCTGGCACTAACAAACTGCATACCAGTAAGATACACATAACCCTCTGCATCTGGAATCCCAGGTCGTCGAATGTTGATTATACAAAACAATTTACAAGAATGGTGCTCCTGCATTTTGTAGATTTTTTATAATTGGTATAGCTTAAATACCACCTTCGCGTTCAAGACTCAAACAGCTTTGTATTTGTCTGTAATCTGATGAATTATGAAGTTACTTTTTACTGGCAAACAACTCAGGTGTTAAAGGGAACCGATAGTGAGATAGTAATTGAGAGTAACAATTGTTGAGACAAAATAATGTAACTTGAGTGAAGAGTAGCTTCGTCTATTTAAGGGATAACAGATTAGTGAATGGTTAGTTAGTTAACAATGCATGTGAGTGGATAGAAAGGTAGTTAGATTAGTTAGTATATATATATATATATATATATACAGTTAGTTCAGCTAATGAAAAGTAGAGCTTTCATTTCCTCCTTTACTGTTACATTCATTCTGATGCTTCTCTCTTCTCTCTTCTCTCTTCCTTAGCCAGTTAAGGCTTAATTCTCTCTCGCTCAATCTCCATTTCAGCATGGTATCAGAGCTCGAGCTATGAATCGAAGCTCATAAATCGATCCTCCTTTTCTCCGTCTGCTCTGTTTTTTCCTTCTCTGATTCGAGGTCCAAAATTGCTTAACAATGGCGATTGATGACTTAGATCACGAAAATGCAACCGTCACAGTTGAAAATGCATCACATGCATCCTCCGATGATGAATTTGAGGAAGGTGTTATAGTTGCAGTCACTCATCCATTATACCCGGTTCCGGGCGACACAAGTGGAATCTCGTTGATTTCATTTCAGCTAACTGGCACTGATAATTACTCCTTATGGCATCGATCTATGAGAATTGCTTTACTCGGCCGTAATAAACTAGGTATTGTTAATGGCAGGTGGCCCAAAGAACGATTCCGTGAAAAATATTGGTATCAATGGGAACGATGTAATGCGATTGTGTTGTCATGGCTGATGAACTCAGTTGCACCAGCTCTAATCCGTGGTATTGCTTATGACACTAATGCACAGAAGGTGTGGATGGATTACAAGAGAGATTTGACAAAGTGAATGACACTCGTTGCTACAATTTGCATAAGAAAATTGCTACCCTAAGTCAAGGTACTTCCTCTATCTCTGTCTATTACTAAATCTCAAGGATTTTTGGGATGAATCTGAGTCTGTTATACCCACTCCTGATTGTGATTGTGCCAAAACAAAGGAGTTTATTGTCATCTACGAAAGCAAAAGGTGTATCAATTCCTAATGGGCTTTAATGATTCTTATTCTCAAGCTCGTAGTCAAATACTAATGATGAAGCCATTACATTCAGTAAATCAAGCATATGCGATGCTTATGAGTGATGAAAGCCAAAGGGCTGTAGCTGCTTCTGCTAGTATTTTAGGATTCTCACCAGTTGTAAATGCCACTCATTCTTATGAGTCAACTGCTCTATATAGTGCTTAACCTAGTTTTAATCCAAAATTTAGGAAGAACTACAATGTTCAGTGTGATTTCTGCAAAATGAAGGGTCACAACAAAGAGAACTGCTACAAAATAATAAGTTATCCATCAGATCATAAATTCAAAAAGAATGGGAGAGTTGGGGCCTATAATGCAGTGGTTGAGCCTGGATACACTATGCATATGTATTCCAATAATGCTCCACACCAGGTTCCTCAGCAATCTTCAATGCCTACATATCAAAAGCCTCAACAAATCATGAATTAAGGAGTGGAGTATCCTACTGCAGTGAATCATACACAGGGTCATCTTAGCACTCAAGCTCTACCAGGATCCTCCTTTATGCAGGCACAAAGACCTTACACAAATTCCTCTCCACAGGCTTAAGGAAGTGGATTTCCTTTCACTAAAGATCAGTATGATCAGATAATGCAGATTCTGAACAACTCAACTTCTACTTCCTCTGCTCAAGCAAATGTGGCAAGTACTAGCACTGCTCTCTTCGCATCTACTACTCCACAAGAGCGGATTATTGATACTGGAGCAACTAATCATATGGTGTCAGATGCTAACTTGCTTACTAAGACTTCTATAGTTACTCCTTCTAAGCCTAAGACAGTCTTGTTACCTAATGGAGATGTCACCCTAGTGACACACACTGGTGATAGCAATATTTCAGACAGAAGCACACTTAAAGATGTATTCTATGATCCTCAATTCAAGTTCA